CAAATCAATCACAATGTTATCCTAATGGTAGGAACTTTGAGGGCAGCCCACGCCCTTAAAAAGATATATTTCGAAAATCTAAAGCCAGTTTGCACATCTACACACCTAGACGAACATTTTGGTATATAATATGTGGGGTTAAATCTTAAAACAAAAAAGCCTTATTGTTCACAAAGTTTCATGTCGCGTATTAAATATATAGATTAGGTTTAACGAGTACCAAGGTTTTATGCTTTAAGAGGGCTAATAAAGTGTGTTTTTTAGTAAAATACTGTATTATTAGCTTAGTATAAAACAAATTGGCCAAGTTTAATCAAAATATATCCATACACAAGTAAATTCCAATACTTAACAACATTTTCTATAAGAATAACATGGCAATTTTTAATATACTCTTTTTTTTAATTTTCTCCATAACTAATAACAGTACAAAAACACTTAAATATAGGTACTAAATTATTTGTTTTTGAGCTCATTAAAATTATCTAGAGAGAAATTGTGAATTTTTTAGTTTTATGGGTAAAAAATGACAAACCCCTTTTTTAGCACATAAACCCCGTTCCCAAGGTATGTTCATGCTGGTTCGCGAACTCATTCAAATTTATCCCACCCTTCACCTTAAAACAAAATTTCTTCAAAATAGAACAAAAGTTACTCCAGTTATCGCGTTTACATACATATATATATATATAATATTTAAATCTATACGAACGGATGGTGTTTTTGGCCTCTGGGGACATCAAAATGAAAAAGTAAATCGGTCCCGGGCCTAGGTTTGGGTCGCCGGATGACTGCCCCCCGGAAAACTACCCCCCCAAGCAGGTTCCTACGTCATATTGACGTCAGAGACCGGGGGGGCAGTTTTCCAGTCACGGACACTTTAATTTAGTTGTCAAACAGTTCTAATCTAACCTAACCTAACCAACCAAACTTGCTGTAACATTTCGAAAATCTGTTTTATATTCACCACATGCCTTTTCTATTATCCAACGGAATTACTCGAATTAAAATTAAAATTACATAGCATGATTTGTCTAGGGGGGGTAGTATTCCAGTCGCAGACACGGCTTCCATATTGGTTAGTTAGCAGATTTTGTGACGTAACGTTTCACCTGGGGGGGTAGTTTTCCGGGGGATAGTATTCCGCATCCCCCTAGGTTTTACCATGCCACCTACGGTAATAATTTCGAGCTTTCAGTGGCTTTTTTTAGCATCCGACGCTAGCATCCGTAGTATAATCGCCCCCATTTGATTTAATGCCTCGCTAGCGTCCCGGACGCTGGCCTCTTGGACGCCAGCGTCCTAGTATAATCCTAGCCTTAGTTTTGATAATGATTTATTGTGAGTGAAGAAACTGAAGATGGAAGGATTTGGATTTAATATAAAGAAGAGTGAAATTAAAAAAAATTTCATTTAAATTTAATAATTATTAGTATTTTTGCAACTTAAGATTCTTTATTAAGCTTCATATTATTTTGGAAGAACTTCAAACAGTATCAGGGACGTCCCATAAGGACCTCCGGGGAGTATTTTTTATTTTACAGGGCCCACTCAAATATTTTTTAACATCAAGCTTCCACTGCCAAAAGCTCTGTCTTATATTATTACTTTCCAAGTTCTTCCAACCCAGGGGCAACCAAGATTTGTAAAGAATTCACTTTTGAGAGCATTGCAAGGAGTAAAATATATTTAAGTACAATATTTAAATATATAAGTCAAACTTTTTTATTTTTCTTTACAAATAAACGGTACTCCGCCATTTCTTAACCGATTTTATCCATTGACGTCTCATTGGAAAGAGCATGTCGCGTAGATTTGCAAACTGGCCTTACAATTTTGAAAATGCCCCTTGGGCTCTGCCCCAGTGGCTTTAAAAGTTCCCATGTTATCCTTATGAAGAACATAATTGTTTACATTTTGATCAGCTGTATAATTGAATTGCTGTATTTATTTTTCAATTCAATGAAAAGCATTGAGTACATTTATTTACTATTTGAGTTTGTGTAAACATAACCCCCAAGATGGATCGTGTTAGTATGGTTGTATCTTAAATTTGTGCATTTATCGTTGTTTTGTGTAGCTATAATTTGTTTATTTGTTGTTTTTTTCTTTTGAATGACTCCGACGCGATGACAACGAAACATAGTCAGGAGGCGTAATCGTGATAACGACCGCAGTTACAGAACAGTGGCGGGTAATAGGCTTAACTCATCACAGTCAGCACCTGACCCTGGACAATCTCAACTATTACGTTACAAATGCGCCCTACCCCAAAACGACTTTTCGTTCTCAATTGGCCCTCTATCAATGACCTGTGTTGCCTGTACAGCGAGGCATTTTGAGAAGGAGAAAACCGGCCGGAATGCTTTAGGTTTATCAATAACGAAGGTAAACATGGTCATGGTCTGAGTTACACACCGGTAATCTTTGAGTTGACTCTTTTAAACTCATTGTAAATGTGACTGTTATTCGTTTTGAAATAATTCCTGTAATACTTTGCAATTGCTTGAATTCGAGCAACATGTGCACTAGTAATTAGTAAATCAGCTGATCGTCCAATGTAAATATAATGGAAATTACAAATTACAAGTTAAAACTTGTAACTTGTAGTTTATTATGAAACAGGCCCCTGGGAATAAAATATGAAATAGGTTTGTACAGGCAATACATATTTTTCTTTCATTAATTATTATAACAAATTCCAATGGGCGGAAAAATAACATTGTTTGGAGGAGATTTTAACCAGACTGCCTGTTGCTCCAAAGAAAAAATGTTAAAATAATATAGCCTAACATGCATAGTATAGATAGTAAAGGGAGCATCCATAACAATAAACCCTAGAGGTAGTTTCCATTTCTCTACGTTTCACTAACCAAAAATATGTACCTATATCAATGCTGATAAAAAGTTTTTTCGTGATTGGTTTTGTTAACATGCTAATGGAACCTTAAACAGTGGCAACAGAGTTAGTAATCAGTCGATGATTAGCTTTTTGAATTGTAGGCTAGATAAATATAAAAATTTTTAAAAGTTAAAAAAAGGTACATCCATTGAATGAAAAATGTTATACTATTAAGTACTTAAAATGAGGGCGGATTAGCAAATAAACACTTTAATATGGTCTAAACTATGAACCCACTGAACGTTTAAATAGGCATATTTTGATAGAGTGTGTAAAATCAATCACAGCTTTAGGAGGAATACCACCACATAAGCTTACACAAAGAGTAGTTTCTATTTTATGTTGATCAGAAACGAAACTAAAGTTTAGTTTGGTCAGCCTTTACACTAGTTGCGCCTTTACAAAAAGAGTAGAGCTATAAGATTATAAATAATAACTGGGCCAGGGTACTAATATGAGTAAATGTATTATTGTAGCACTGTATCAGTTCTGACGCATAGATAATTTTATTTTAAGTTTGTTTAAATATTACAATAATTTGTTTTACATTTATGCTTTTTAGGGACTTATGTCCCTACAAGCCACTAGTATCAATTAATTATCCCCATTTTTAATAATTGGCATATGTTATTTAACACGTTCGCTACTGCGATAGTACGAAATTTTTCATTCACATGGACCAGCGACGCACATATGCGACTGCCGGTTTCCACTCATAGACTGCCGTCGCATATTTGCGTCTAATGTTATATCTAATGGGTTCTAATGTTATTAAAATGCTTATATCTTTGTAACAGTCTATTTGAAGGCTCTGAATTCCCTGCAGTGGTCTACAGTGATGTCTGACGCACAACTGCGTCGCTTGGTCTGTGGGTATGATGATTGGTGGCGTCATAATGATGGTTGAAAAAAACTGGTCTTTACTTTTCTGCATCACTATTATATGTATGTATGCAGTATGTATGCTATATTATCCTATGTTAGCTTTTATATTTGTTCAGTTATAAACTGTTCTTGAATAATCTGTTTTGTTTACTTACTTTCACCTCAAAACAAAAACAAAAATGAACTGTCGCACGTATGCGACGTTTGGTCTATTTCAAGAAAACTAGGATAATTTTCACTATTGTCTTCGCTGTAGACCGGGCGTCGCAAATATGCGACATTACAAAAGGTTATAAAAATTACAAAAAAATAAGAATAAATTATTTACAAATACGATTGTAGCGTATTACAATGTAAATGATCACTGTTTTACAGGTTTTCGCCCGTGGTCTGTGTGAACTGTTAACCAAGTGACAGCAGGTCTATGTATAAGATTCAAATGTATACCTCGGTCTGTGGCAATGACCGCGGCGTCGCATAAACGTGTTAATAAATTAAAATATTTGAAGATCTTTTGAGTCAGCCGAGTTCCCCTCCCTGATAATATCTACTGTATAATTAAACTTATTGTAAACTCAATGTTCTGTTTTACTGAGCTAGGCTTTTAACCAAGATGGTGACCCTTTATTGTTCATTATAATAATTATCAAACCACATCTACATTCATTGTAATACCCTATTCTTAGTTCATTAAATTTGTAATGTAAAGAAATCCTTCAGCTTAATCATTTGTCTTTATATATATTTAATTTACAGCATAAACACATTGTTTTCTTTTAACTCCTTTGCTGTAAAATACCAAACCTAACAAAATTTTTCTTCAGTTGGCTTGTAAATTTACGCAAACAAAAATCTGATCTCAGAGCCCACCTCACAAATGTTGTGACGTTGTAATGGCAGAACTCATTTTAACACTCCATAGCAGACAAAGATTGAGAAATATGATGCACAAGTTCCCATTCTGGATTCGTACTGAGTGTGGAAACACTCTGAATCTGATACTAAGATGGTGGCAATAGCACCGCCCCAAACGGCGCAAATGCGAAGTGTCTACTACTTTCTAGGTGGCCCCCAACAAACCTAAAACCTCTCATGCCCCTGGGTCCAGGCCCATTTACTAAAGCGGCTCTGGTTACCACTCAGCTACCTACCTGTGTAGATATTGTTATATGTTATTATTTTTAAAATGATAAAAAATGTAAATACTTTTTAGGCCAATGGAATTTTTGGATTGTGAGGAGTTAGTGGATCATAAAGAAAATGTCACTTCTCAAGCAGAACTTGGATATGGTTGTTTAAAGGTAATTAAAAAATATAAGTTTTCCATCATAAAGACATTATTAAATAGTTGCCTATTAATACTTTAATATTTTTAATTAAAATGGCAACCATACAAAGGTAGGTATTTTAAGCCAAGTATGAAGGGAGATGAGTGTAGATTAGTGGCACAATCTAGTAGTCTTGTTACTGAATAAGCCCAACATGTTCCTTAGACAGTGGTGCTATTAATTAAAAGCCCATACAGTAAATGGCAACCAAGGGACCTACAGTTTATAGTGGAATCCGAACCACATTTTTGCCTTGTAATTTACAAATTGGTCTAATTATCAGGGTAGTACTGCAGATTGTCATAGTACTCACTAGTGTGGACGATAATCCACACCAGGGAGTATCGCATCCACAGATCATGCTATATTTTTATTAGGCCTAATCATATTTTATTGAGAATTTATGGGAATTTTGAATTTAATTTTTTTTTCCCCAAAGCATTCTCAAAACACTAAATTATTTGTTTTTTAAGCTCTTCAAGATGGTTCTGTGTTGTGTTACGGTTACAAAACGGATACAAAGTGGTGGTACGGTTTAAAGAAAAATTATAAAATTATATATTTTGAGGGTCAAAAATGAGAAAAGCCAATTTTTACCCCACAAAACCCCGTTACCATGGTCCGATCATGCTGGTTTGCGGTCTTGTTCAAATAAAGGTGGGTTTACAAGTTTGTACCATCGATGTATAACCTAACTGGATCGCGCTCGGCCGGTAAAAGAAAACAGTCCGCCGCTGCCGCGCTGCTCTCCCACCACAAGTGGGGTACCGGAGCGGCCCATAGCATTGAAGTACAGTAGCATTGTGACCGCCGACATTGTACTTTTTTACTTCCTTATTGTCACCAAAATGTTTAAATGAATTTCTTTTTTCGTGTATGGTATTGTATGTATTTTTGTTTCATAGGTACATTCTCTAAACTATAATATACATATTTAAAATTAAACCTTCTTGTAGTCTTGGATTTATAACACAGTTTTGATGGTACATGCATTGATATGGATTATTTTATTCTGTCATTTGGGTTGGATAGTACATCCATTGACATTAAATCATAGTAGGCTATATAACATTAATTTTTACTCTTACAATATTAATAAAAACTACAGTACTGTAATACATTTCCTGGGTATAGTAGTTACGATGTAGAATAATCAAAGCCAATAAAACTAAACAACTCTATGGTAGATGTAATTACACTTTAATTAATCTAATCAACCATACAACTTTTACATATAATAATCATCAGACATTGATAGACGTGGCGACACAAATAAGTTTATTTAGCATCTGCCGAACGCTGAGGTTTCAAACATTACTTTTTAAGTTTTTTCTTTAATACTTTTTGGCAATATACTATTAAAACAACATCCATATCTTTTTAATGAGCGTAAGATCATGATTCTTAGGTCTTCTAAGATCTCTGTTTGATCCGTGGCCACGGAACACATTGCCAGCAAACATCTTTGATGCCAAAGCACATATATTATATGAATTCATTAGCTCGGAAGTCCTTAGTTACTCATACAGTCGCCATTTTTTTTCTTTCACTTATTAATTTTTTTCTAAATAGTGGTTAAAGATACAAAATTGAAACTTTGTACAAAAATTTATGACAACTATTCAAAGCTACAAATAATTGATAATTTTGTAAAATTTATAAAACAAAATTGCGGCTATTTAAAATTTTCTTTCAATAACTCAAAATTTGTTGATTTTACAAAACTTTTAAATAGCCGCCATTGAATGTTTTGTAGAGAATGAAATTAAATGGAGATTATAAGATGAGAAAAAAATGAACACACTTTTGGGATAGGAGAACAAGCACTGTTTTATTTACTTTTTGATACACAACATGTGTTAGCAATAGAGAATAATTTAATTTGATTAAGAACACATGTTAGTTGCAAGGAAAAGAGATGTACATTAAATAAAACATAGAGTGTTAAATAATATGAATGGTTAAAGTTTACTGAACATACCGGGGGCCTTGAATCCCCAGTGGATTCAACAAAAACAGTTCACGAATCCACAGTTGGCAGGGGAAACACTTTGTGGGCAGATCTTCTGAGGTTGCCACTTGATGTTTTTAAGTCTATCACTCGCACAACCCCATCAGCCCCTGGATGAACTGCTGTAATTCGAGCGAGAGGCCACGAGAGAGGTGGTGAGTCCATATGTACCAGAACAAGGTCACCCACTTCAAGATTTTTTGATTTCCGAGTCCACTTGGTACGTTGTTGCAAGTTGTTTAAGTATTCTAGGTGCCATCTATGCCATATGCGTTGATGAAATGCTTGAACTAGCTGCCATTGCTTGAGACGGTTTTCAGGAACTGTCAGGAGATTAGGTTCAGGTACTGCTGTGAGGGGTGCACCAATCAGGAAGTGTCCGGGAGTCAGTGCTGCGAGATCCGAAGGATCATTTGAAAGAGGTGTCAGTGGTCGGGAATTGAGCATTGCTTCGATTTGGGTCAACAATGTGATGAATTCAATGAGTGTTAAGACTGAGTTTCCCATTACTCGACGGAGATGATGTTTCACATTCTTTACAGACGATTCCCACAATCCTCCTTGATGCGGAGCGGCTGGTGGATTAAAATGAAAATTGATGCCTTTAAGTGAAGAGAATCGTTGAATCTTCCGTTTGGAGTCTTGACAATAAAGAGATTTTTCAACAATCTTGCGTAGGGTAGAGTCAGCACCAATGAAGTTGGACCCACAATCCGAGTAAATGTCGGAAGAATGTCCTCTGCGAGATACAAATCGAGTCATTGCAGCAATGAAAGATTCAGTCGTTAGGTCTGTTACTACTTCCAAATGTACAGCTTTCGTGACGAGGCAGATGAAAGTACAAAAGTATGACTTTATGTGTCTCACTGCCTTGAGGTTGAAGATTTTAACAGTAAAAGGCCCTGCATAATCTATGCCGGTGTGGAGGAAAGGTCGAGCAGGAGTTACACGAGACTGAGGGAGATCAGCCATGAGAGGACACACATTTCTAGGTTTGACTTTGAAACATCTGACACATTTATGGATACGAGAGCGTATGGCACAACGGGCAGACAGTATCCAAACATGTTTGTAAAGTAATGCTTGAGTAAGCTGAGGGCCTGAATGAAGATTGTAGATATGGTAGTGGTCAATGAGGAGATTTACCACATGATGCTTTTTTGGCAGAATAATGGGATGTCGAGCATCTTCAGGAAGTGATGTCTGAGAAAGACGTCCTCCAACACGCAATAATCCAAATGAGTCAATGAAAGGTGAAAGACGTTGTAAACGAGTGGAGCAAAATGATTTCCGTTTGAGGCAGTTGATTTCTTCTGTGAATACTTCTTTTTGTACAAGTTTAAAAATGTGATATTTTGTGTCTTTCAGTTCCTGTGTTGAGATGAAACCTTGGCGTTTTTCAGAACCTTTACAGTTGTATATGAAACGAAGGACGTAAGCAAAAATCCTAAGAAGTCGTTCCCATGAAGAATATTTAATGAGAAGATTGGTCAGCGTAGATTCAGTGGTAGTTGACACAAGTACAGTTAGAGGAGTGTGTTTTACTTCATCTAATGTTGAGATATCTGTAGGTGAAAAAGTTACATCAGGCCAGTTTGAAGGGGGAAGAGAAAGCCAAGAAGGCCCTGACCACCAAAGGGGGTGAGACACAAGCTCAGTGGCTAGAATACCTCTTGAAGCACAATCAGCAGGGTTTTCCTTGCTAGGGATGTAACGCCAACAGTGATAGGGGACAAGTTCTTGTGTTTGGGCGACTCTGTTAGCCACGAATGTTTTCAGCCTGTAAGATGGAGTTTGAAGCCATGTCAAGGTTACTGAAGAATCACACCACAAATAACATTGGTTGAGTGAAATTAAGGGTTTGAATGAAGAACAACAGAAGTTTACGAGTTGAGCTAATAAGTGGGCAGCGCAGAGTTCTAATCGTGGAAGAGTCACCTTCTTGAGAGGGGCGACTCTAGTTTTAGATAAAACCATACGTGTAGTCACTTCTCCGTTGGGTTGGGAACATCGTACATAGACAACAGCTGAAAACCCACGTTCAGAGGCGTCTGAGAAGCCGTGAAGTTCAACACTAGAATTTGGAGAGATTTTCAATGCTCTAGGGATCTGAATGTCTGCAAGTGCTGGTATCGCTGAGATAAAGTTACTCCAAATTGCACTAAGTTCTGGAGTGAGAGGTTCATCCCATTGTAGACCGGTCGTCCAGAGAAGTTGAATAAAACATTTCGCTGTCATAGTACATGGGCTAAGAAATCCACAAGGATCGTATATTTTAGCGACTAGACTGAGAACGTGACGTTTAGTTAGTGTTTTTGGCGGTAGGTTGAGATGAAATGAAAAATTGTCCGAGTCTGGAGACCAGTGTAGGCCAAGAATTGAGAAATGGGGATCAGGTGTATTTTCAAGAAAGACTGGAGAGTCTTTATGAGTGTCTGGAAGAGACTGAAGAAGCTCGGGAGAATTTGAAGTCCATTTTCGAAGTTCAAAGTGTCCACGGTTGAGTAGTTGAATGAGTTGATTTTGAAGGTTCTTTGCTTCATCTACCGTGTCTGCTCCAGTTACAATGTCGTCTACGTAAGTCTGAGTGCGCAAGACATTTGCTGCTTCAGGGAAGTCTTTACCTTCGTCTTCAGCTAACTGGTGGAGGGTACGAATCGCTAAGTAGGGTGAGCTATTTACTCCAAAAGTCACTCGAGTGAGTTTGTATGTGGATATATCTTCAGAGGGATTGTCACGCCAAAAGACGAGTTGGAACAGTTGATCGGAAGGTTTGATTAAGATTTGAAGATACATTTGGCGAATATCGCAAGTGAAAACGATATTGTGTATTCTGAAATGTAGCAATATATCACAAATGTTGGTCTGTAATTTAGGGCCGGTCATGAGAGAATCATTGAGGGAAATTCCAGAGCTGGTTTTGCAGCTTGCATCATAAACGATTCGGAGTTTAGTTGAGGTA